TCCTACTTCAATATGAACTACTATAGGCACTCAATGGATCCCAAGGGAAGAAGAATTGTTTTTTTACAGAATATAGATCCCTGAAAGATTAACCTAACATTAGTGGTCGGTCCTAGATACATGTACACACAAGCACTATACTTAACAGTAAAAATAAAAGAACGGGGCCGGGCATGGTGGCGAACACCTTTAATCCCAGCACTTGGGAGGCAGAGGCAGGTGGATCTCTGTGAGTTCGAGGCCAGCCTGGTCTACATAGTGAGTTCCAGGACAGCTGGAGCTACAGGGAGACCCTGGCTCAAAAAGACCAAAAAAAAAAAAAAAACAAAAAAAAACCAACCTCCATTTCATTATTAAAATACAGAGTTTCATACAGAAAAATTCATTTTCAATGCAATTGACATTAAGATGTTTGCACATGCGTTTCTAATCTCTATATATCTGATTATTACTAGTCATAGTCGGTTACTTTCTGAGCTCCTTGGCATCTGAGCATGGACATAAAGTCATCAGGTAGATTTCAATGGTAATGTTTTTCACACCTACTAATTATTAAGGAGCAAATTTTTATGCTTTGAATTATTATTTTATCATTGTTTTAGTCTGCTTTCCTGAAGTCCTCAGAAAGGCATAACTGCTCCTTTTCTTCTTTACATCTCTTTTCTGAGCATGCTTCCCTACCACTTTGGGCTGCCCCAACATTTTGGATTTCTTTATCTTTTGTCTAAATTTCCTTTCCCCTTCCTACCACGTGGCTGCTAGTCTGCCGTCGTCTGTCTGACTGGCCTCCCTGCGGCTCCAAACCTGCATGGTTTCACAGCTTTTTTCCTGCTCCCCTCCATTCTCCTCCTCAAGGCAGCTGCTGAGATCTGTGGCTTTCCTGCCCTGAGGATTTTTCCTTAAATTCTAATAAAATTGTCCTACAGCTTCAGCTTGAGTCCATTCTTTTATTTTTTTTTATGAATGAGACTAAAAACTCTTAAGGGGGGGACCCCATCTTCCCCCTGTATCAGTGAGCATGATCATAAATGAAGCAAAACAGACAATACATTGAGAATTACTAAATCAGGGTAATAGGTAATGAGGATTCATAGTAAAAGGTAACAAAGGGCCAGCAAGATGGCTCAGCCAGTAAAGGTGCTTGCTGCATAAGCCTGACAACCCTAGTTAGATCCTGGGGACCCACATGGTGTTAAGTACAGAGCCAACTTCACAAAGTTGCCCTCTGACCTCCACACTCAAGCTGTGGAACATGTGCCCCCTCCCATGTGCACACATGTACACACAATAATAATTTTTTTAAAGAAAAAAAACCAAATCTGGCACGAACGTTATTAATCTTAGGAGGAAAGGCACAAGAGCGACCCAAGTTCACAGAACTGGTAAAACCACTGATTCTAAATCTATGGAGTGAAAGAACAAAAACAACTTTCTACTGCCTTATGATTTGTTCCCTGTATTTCACTGCAATAATAATGTAAAATTGTAGAGCCCTTTAGAGTTTACAAACATTTACATATGCATTTCCATGAGTAACCGAAGCGTTCTTACCCCCGTCCCACTCAGCTAAGGTATTTAGGGGCAGTTTTTCTAGAAAATGAAACATGTACATATGGACAATGACCAGATTATATATCAAAACAGGATTCTGTCTCACAACCTGCTGCAATCTGCCCAGGAAACTAGCCACTAATCTACAACAAACAGTAAACCAGCCTGCAGTTAGTGGGATTCACAGGAAGTCAGATTATGATCTCCAACTACAATCCCAGAAATCAAACAGTAATCCTGCTTAACAATTATCCCCAAATCACCTGGGCTTGATTACTGAGTGCTGGTTTCCCCAGTTTTTGTCCTCATTTGCAATTTAGGACCAATCAAAGGTGTCCCCTCCTCATATGCGTGGGATTGTCCCGGTGCCCCAGCCTGTAAGGAGGACACATCTGAAGTTTCTTTCTCTTCTGCTTCAAAAACTTAATGGGCTGAAAGGGCTCCAACACCTTGGGCTCCTATAAAATCAAACTGAAACCCAACTCATTGTAAATAGTACTTCACCATCAGCCACCAAAGTTAACCAATCACCAAACTACCCTCTAGTAGGAGACTTATCCATTTTTTAAAAAAAATTTATTTATTATTTTTATGTGTACGCGTGTATTGCCTGCACATAGGTAAGTGCACCCGTGTCCTGCAATGCCCTCGGAGGTCAGAAGAGGCTGTCAGATCCCCTGGGACTGGAGTTACAGACAGTTGTTAGCTGCCATGTGGGTGCTGGGATTCGAACTCAGGTCTTCTGCAAGAACAACCAGTGTTCTTAACCACTGAGCCATCTCTCCAGCCCTGAGATGTAACCATTTGAACCAATCAAATATATTTTCTTCTGGGTATGATGATGTACACCTTTAATTCTAGCACTAGCACTTGGAAGGGAGAGGCAGGTGGATTTCTGTGAGTTCAAGGGCAGCCTGGTCTACATACTAAGTTTGAGGCTAGCTAGGGCTACAAATCAAGACCCTGACTCAATTATATATGTATTATATATTTATACTTATATAATATTTATAATTATATATATAATTATATTATATATATATATATATATATATATAATTCTTAGTCTTGCTTCCATGAACACCTGATAAATCTCCTCACTGGCCCCCTGTAGAACAGAGCCACTTGCAGTCTGGTGGTGCTCAGTTCAAGAATCCTTGAATATTCCGATAAATTCATTAAAATGTCAATGCACTCTGCCTGTTTATTTTTTGTGACAGGGACTTTCTCTGTTGCACAGGTTGACCTCAGTCTCCTGCCTCAGCCTATTGATTATAAGTGTACTATCACTATACCTGGCCTCTAAGCTTTTCTTTAACATCACTAGAAAGCTTCCTCACTCTTTTGCCTACTGGTGAGTCTGCCCAATGCTGTAGCAAGCTCAGAAGCAGCCAGGTGTGGTAGCTCATGCCTATAATCCTAGTTCTCAGGAGACTGAGGTAGGAGGATCACCATGAGTTCAAGGCCAGCCTAAGCTACATAGTGAATTCCAGGCTAGTCTGAGCTGCAGACTAAGACCCTGTCTAAAATAAAATCAAACAAAACAAGTCCTTGTTAATATAGTGGTGAGTATTCCTGCCTGCCTATCGAGCACTGTCTATTCTTGCAGAAGACCCAGGTTCAGTTCCCAGCACCTGTATAGCAGCTAACAATCGCTTTAACTCCAGTTCCAGGAGATTCAGCGTTCTCCTCTGGTCTCCTCATATGGCATGCGTGTGTATGGTGCACTTATATACATGCAGGCAAAACATTCATATAAGTTTAAAGTTTTAAAAAATCATCATAAATAATAAAAATGAAGGAAAGATAGCCTTGGAGGGAAGTCACAAGCCCCTCCTTCTTGCCTGAGAATGGGGCTGAGCTTAAATCTACTCCTTGTTAATCCTATAAACGATGAACAAGACGCTTAACTTCTATATGCATCAGGTTTTTTTTCTCTTCTGTGAAATGGACATCAAAATAATTGCATTACCTACCTTACAGAATTTCAGAACCAAAAGTCATATTGCACATAAAATCTCACTGGAGAGAATGATTGACAGAGCTGGGGAGATAGCTCATTAGGTATAGGACCAGACATGAGTTCAATCCCCCAAACCCACACTGAGGGAAAAAAAAATTAAAATAGCTAGATGTGATGGCTCATGCTTGTAATCATGGCGCTGGAGAGGCTGAGATAGCAGATTCCTGGGGCTTACTGGCCTACCAGCCTAGCCTATTGTGCCCCAGACCAGTGAGAGAATCTGTTTCAAAACACAAGGTGGGCAGTGCCTCAGAAGAACAATGTCCTCTGGCTTCCGTGCATACTCACTCGCAGGCACCTTCACACACCAGGACAATACACAGATAATAGCTTTCTACTGTCTTTTTTGGCCTTACACTCACTACTCTTAGGAGAATTACCACAGGTACTTAGAAACTGCTTTTACTAAAAGGTACTGACTTCTCATTTGGGCCTACAAGGTACCTAAAGTTAGGATGAAAGCATGGCATCCCTGACTTCTTACCTCTGCACATGGGCATGCTAATTGCTCAAGGAGTATTTGTCTAAAAACCCTGTGGTACCTAACCTATCTCATTCCACTTTTTGAAGGCTGAAGCCACAAAGGTAAGAGAAACTGAGGTATCTTACTTTCTTCTTCTTCTTCTTCTTCTTCTTCTTCTTCTTCTTCTTCTTCTTCTTCTTCTTCTTCTTCCTTTCTTATTCTTGCTCCCTTTTCTTTTTTTTTTTTTTGGTGTTTTTGGGAGAGGGTCTCCCTGTAGCCCCAGCTGACCTATAACTATGTAGACCAGGTTGGCCTTGAACTCACAGAGATGATCCACCTGCCTCTGCCTCCTGAGGGTTGGGATTAAAGGCGTTCACCACCACACCCAGCTTACTGTCCGCTTTTTTAAATGTCCTGTTCCAGACCTACAAAGGACACTTGAGTATCTCCAGCCATTGTCCTAAGTCTGCAGTCATCTTGAATTCCAGAAACATCAGAGCCTTGCAGGGCAGACCATCCCCCAGATGAGGGCAATTATCTGCAATGGCAAGGCTTCACCCTGGAGCAGGAGTGATCATGCTCCAGGTATTAAACAGGCTGAATGCCAAGAGCAGATAGCTGGCTCTCCGAGCCCCAAGTGACCCCAGCAAAGAGCTACACAACAGTTAGCCATCATCTTTTATTTGCTCAAATATACCCATAAGAAAATTTAGCAGTTCAAGCCCTCCTTAAATTCAGTTGACTCCTTCTGTACCCAACTTTTTAGGAATATTTCAAGAGTACGTTCTGTGCTAGAGATGAGTCACTATCACATATACATCCAGCCCAATCAAGAGTCTTTCCTCCAAAAGCTGAGACTCCCTTAAGATTCCATGAGTTTTTCTGTCTGGGAAGGGGGAACACAGTTCATAATATCAATAATTCATTGTTTTCATCAGGCCTCCATAAAATTGAATTACAGAACAACAAGAAAGTAACTGAGGCAAAAGAAGAGGGTATTAGTGGTGGTGTACAGCCACCAGCCAGATGATCCCACCTCAGTGGAAGGAAGCAAGGAAGTCTGGTAAGGCCCACAGCGTTCACTGATGCTGAATGTGAAGTACAATGAGATGACTCTTCATCTGTCGTGGTAAGACTGTTCTATGTTTGGGTCCAAGGAACCTGATATTTGGGAGCTTCTACAGGCTTTGAAAATCAACAAGTAGGTTTCTTTGAACTTCTTTATTTTGCAAGCATAGACAATAGGGTTCATCATGGAGTTAGCATGGGTCAGCATGATGCCCAGGCACATGGCAACCTCTGGTATCTTAACTTCAAAGTAAGAAACAAAGTTGATAATGGACAAAGGCAGCCAGCACAAAGCAAACAAGAAGAGAACAAGAAACAGGGACTTAGCTGTCTTGAACTCTCGTCCATAAAATGCACCTGTCTCTCTGAAGCCAGACAAGTTCTGACTAAGTTTGTTCCGGATGATATAGAAGATTTCCAGATAGATGACACACATGACAACCAGGGGAATGAAAATCCAGGTGATGAAACTGAAGAAGACCATGTAATCCAGACACATGACTGAACGGAAGCGGCAGGAAAGGGTGGTAACATTTTTGGAGAAGGTTGATTTTTTATTCCAGCCAAACATGGGGGTCAGTCCCACCAGGAAGGACACCAGCCAGCAAAGGCCCAGGGATAGCCATATTCTTCTTTGAGTGGTGACCATCCTGTATCTGTTTGAATGGAAAAGAGATGATGAGTTCACAGCAGGAAGTGGGCAATTGGGCAAATGGAGCTGGCAAAGGAAAGAGGGACAGAGAAAGGCATAAGCTGTCTCTGTTCCCTGATCTGCTGAGAGATGAGAATGCCCATAGTTTGTCGTGACTCCAGAGAAACTCTACTGGCGATGGAGACAGAATGGGAAGACAGTAATTAGAGCAAAATGCAGAAGGTTCTCTGGAACATTTCTAAAGAACATCAGCGCAGAATGATGAGCAACATGTTGCCAGGGGCCTGCATGCCCCTCACGGCTCTAAGACTTCTTTAATTCTTGGGATGTAAGACATAACCCAAATCTCCTGGGATCACCAAACTGGTGAGAAATAATCTCCTTAAAGCCTGCTGCTATGCTACGCACTGCTTTGTTTTGGTTGGCTCTTATACAGGGACTGGTAAGTTATGCTACACTTCCTTCTACCTGTGCCTGCCTGTCTTTTTTGCAGGTGCATTCATCCTTAGTGTCTGAGTTGGTGAATCAGTGTTTTCTTAAGGAGATTCACCAGTTCTCTTTAAACTATCCTTCCTGACAGCCACCTGAACAGACTGCAAAAGAAGGAAACCAATATTAAGCATTATGTAAAGACTTACAAATCTCATAGCCAGCTAGAGATATTTTATGATAATCTCCATTTTATTGAGGCAGTGGCATAGCTACCATTTTTGGGCATAGACTGTGTAGCAGTAATTTTTCTGAGAACTTTACAGTTATTAACTTTATTTATATAACTTTATGAGGAAATTACAATAATTTCCATTTCATAGGTTTAAAAAATGTAAAACAGTTAAGTAGGATACAGAAGCTAGCAGTGATGATGCTGAGAGTTTAACCTGAACCTCTGGGACATGGAGAAGGAAACTTCAGAAGAGAAAGTTAAATAACTTGCCCAAGATCAGTTCACAAGATCAGAGATTTGAGCCCAGCCTTGTTTACATCAACAGCTTGTCTGTAGTTTCCCCCGCCACCGAGCCCAGAGGAGAGAAGAAGCCTGGGGGATATAATTTCTCCATTTGGAAGTCTGTTCACTTCACATGGTCACATGAAACAGTGCTACTATTTTGCACAAAACAAAATATCTTTTTTTAAAAAAGTTCTTAAACTACATCAAAAAGGGGAAAAGGCAAATGCAGGCTCTAAGCATTCCTTTCTCAACATCAGGGCCAATAGAGAACTGGAATGAAAATACAGCTTACATTTGTGCAGCCACACATCCATGTGCTGATCTCTTACTCTCATCTTCTTATGACAGTATCTCATCTAGTAGGTTTCCGTCATTTTTAAAAGCTACAGCTGTATCAAGCTTTCATCATCTTTAGCTACCCTGAGAACTGAGCAAACATCCATGGTCCATGGAGAAGGGCTCAGAGCCACCATTTCCTGAATCTCAGATCATCACGGCTAATCCCTTCACAAACCGTTTACTTATTGCCCCTTTTCAACCTCAAGGGCCAGTTTGGACTCCTTTCCATGGAAAGGGCCTGGGATCTGAACTTTGTAGTTCCACTTGCCAACCACCTCTAGCACTGCTGTCCCACCCTTCTTCAAGCAGGTAGGTTACCTGACCGTAAGCTTGACCCGCAGGTATCGGTCTACAGCAATGGCCATCAGGGACATGATGGAGGCGTGGGTGAAGATCAGCAGCACACAGGACATGAAGAGGCACATATAGAAGTGCATTTCTAAGTCCAGGCTGATGACAATGGCCAAAGGTATGACCAGCACCCCAACAGCAATGTCAGCCACAGCTAGGGAGATGATGAAGTAGAAGGTGGTAGTCTGCAGGCTGGGGTTCAGCTTGACCACCCAGATGACCAGCAAGTTGCCCACTATGGCACAGAGCCCGATGATCACTTCCATGCTGATGTAGGTGATTTCCAACCATCGCTCAGTAACAGTGTTGTTAGGTACCATGCTGTTCCAGAGAAACCTCCCAGGTGACTGGTGTGTCAGCAGGGTTCATATGGGCCAGTAGACCTAGCTCTTGCCAGACATCTGCCCAGAGGTCCACTGAAGCAACAGTCAGAAACTCACAACTTGCTCATTCCTTCTCTTCTCTGATAGGATGCTCTCTTACAGACTCTTCTCCTTGGAGAACGCCCATCATAGAACAGGCAACCCCAGGCCCATCTGTGAGCCACACATTCCTGACTTCCCAGAAACCGGGAGGACACCGTTCTATGCGGCTGAATCTGAAAGTGTTGCCACTCTTAGTTCCCCAGACAGACACAGTGAAGGCCTCTGCCTTCCCCTGCCCCCACAAGGCTTTTCAAGCTCCATCAAGATAAGCACCCTTCTTTAGAGTGTTTCAGGAAGTAAGATTGGCCAAGAGGAAGTACAGAGCCAGGAACCCTCAGCAAACAAGATGGAGGCTGGCATGAGTGGCACAGAGGAGGCTTGAGAGGAGATTTGAGCCATGCCAGGGGAGCGAAGCCCCGTAAAACCGGCTACTTGGAAAGCTAAGGCCTGTCTAAGTTACAAAGTGAGTTCAAGGCCAGCCTGGGTAACTTAGCAAGATGGCGTCTCAATTTTATTTTTTAAAGTGGTGTAAGGACAAACTACGGTTATAGCTCAGTAGTAGAGCACTTGCCTGGAATGCATGAGGCCCAGCACAAATAGACACACACAGACACCTCACCTCTCTCTCTCTCTCTCTCTCTCTCTCTCTCTCTCTCTCTCTACTCTCTCTCTCTCTCTCTCTCTCACACACACACACACACACACACACACACACACACACACAATTAGGAGTCAGAAATCACATGGACCAGATGAAAGTATGGGTTGGATGGAAGAAGAAATGGAAGCACTGACTATGTAATATTCCCACTCTCTGCTTTCGTAACAGAAAGAGTCTGTAACAAGGACACAGACAAGAAAAGCAGAGGAACAAAAATTGAGCCTTGGCAGCAGCCACCTAATATTGGTAGAACTTACTCCTCCTGTGTGCATAGGAGAAACTGCTGAGAATTTAGCTGCATGGGCTGACTCAGCCAAGCATAACTGGTACCTTGCATTTGCATCGAGCGTTTGTTAAAGGGACAAGCAGAGCTGAGCACCTGCAGGAAGCATTACATCCAAAGCATCTTCATCTTTCCTTCCCAACCCACACCAAAGCCTCACCTGCTCTTACAAAGCAACAGCCTACACAACACATATCTGAGGAACAGCAGGACAACAGGATCGCCAGACATACAGCAAGGAAAGGAAAAATAACCTGTACACAGGATCACGTTAGCTACCCAGCTGTGAGCCCAAGCCCCACTCAACAGAAACAGCATCCATCTCAGAACCAGACTCAATTCCCTGAAGCTGGTCACCTGGTCAACCAGCTCCTGGGAGGCTTGTTTGAATTTTGCTGTCATTTGGTCCCTTGCTTCTCAGCGTAAGCCACAGAGGTCATTTTAACCAGACATGTTAGAGAGGCAGCAAAGTCGACTAAATTGTGCATTAATTTTACCTTCAGCACCAATGTTTGTTCAGTCCAACAATAAAATACAGCAATGGCAACAGGGTTGTTCTGGCATTTTCTTACCTACCCTTTTCAAGGAGCCATCTTTAGAGACATCTAGGCCAGAGCTCTACTGGATCCAAAGTTGACTGAAGCCTAACCAATTTCATGGTCACCTGTCCCACATTCACCACTTCTCTCTGAGCATCCCCCACCTAGATACTAAAGCATAGTCCTTCCCAACCTGACTTCTGTCATTACAGCATTGTATTTTTTAAAGTATATATATATATATATTAGTTATGCGTATGTGCATGTCTGTGTGTGGGTGCCCACAGAGGCCAGGAGAGGGTGTTAGATCTGCTGGAGCTGGAGGTACAGGTAGTTGCGAACCTCCTGACCTGAGTGCTGGGAACCAAGTTCTGGTCCTCTGCAAAGGCAGCAAGTGCTCTTAACTACTGAGCCATCTCTCCAGCCCCAATGTTCTAGCATTTTCTTTGTTTTTGTTTTTGTTTGAGACAGGGTAGTCCCAACTGACCCTGACTCACTATGTAGATGAGGCTGTCCTCAATTTCACAGAGATCCACCTGCCTCTGCCTCAAGTGCTGGGATTGAAGGTGTGTGCCACCACAGCAGGCCAGCATTTTCTAATGCTAGGTGTGCCCTGTAGAGCCGTATCCTAGACTAAAGGATCTGGACAGTCTCACTGGCTTCCACGGGGTCTCCCATGCATGCTTCTACTGCAGTTGCTTTCTTTATCTCTACTTCAACAGAGGAAGTTACTGAAAGCAACTTCTACCAAGTGACAGGAAAGAAAAAAAATCTTTCTTACCAAAAAGCAATCTGATTAATTGCGGTAAAATCTTGATTAATTACTGTAAAAAGCATCATTGTTTCCCCAGCAACGTAATATTACCAAGCAATCTCATGAGAGAGAAAGACCTTCCTGGGCAGGGGTGATCATGCAGCCTGGATGCTGTGGAAACTATATAGCTAAGAAGTTTTCTGCCCGGAAGCCCAACAATTTTTTTTTTTTTTGGTCTTTTTTGAGACAGGGTCTCCCAGCAGCCCCAGCTGGAACTTGCTACGTAGACCAGGCTGGCCTTGAATTCACAGAGATCTGCCTGCCTCTGCCTTCCAAGTGCTAGGATCAAAGGCAAGTGACATCACACCCAGCTTTAATTTTAGGGATTGAGTATGTTCAGGGTGTACCTGGTGGCAAGGCAGGGCAGGAGCATGGGCTTTCTTCTCTAAGGTATGTTGGTCAGGCAATGGGCAGCTCTTAGTTAAAACTAAGGCCTATTCTCCCATATCTCTAGGACCAAGCCCTGGCATCTAGGAATGGCTTTCATTACAAGCCCCAGGGTTATTGCGGTCTCACAGTCTCTAGAAGCTCCTTTCACCTGCTTCTCCCACAGAAACCAAACCATAAGTCCTACTGCACCAAACAACTCGTGGCTCGGTCATTCCCTTTCTTCCTTTCCTGTGTGCACTTGCTCTTGGTCTGGCTGGAGGGTCCTCTTCTCTGGTCCACCTAGAAAACAAACATTCTCAGGACAGTACTCCAGCAGGACCTTTAGAAAAATTCCCTAGACACAGCTTTCCTCTGGGTCCCACCAAGCTCTTCTCACATGGTCTCTCTGCTATGAGCCTGCAGTTCCTGGAGGCCAGACCAGAGCCTTTCATTTCTGATGGCAGACAGATGGCACAGAGTACACAGTTGCTAGATGAATAGAAATGCTTCTTGACAGAGGAATCAGGTCAATTGGGAGAAAGCACCAGGACACAGATAAAACTCAGGTGGGATAGAGTTTATTAGCAGAGGAAATTCACACAGGATAATTCCCTTCAGGGAAGGGAAATTGTCAGCCCATGGGTTGTAGGCTGGGGTCTTTATGGGGGGGGCGTCGGAGCAGGAACACATTTTGAAAAATTAGGTGGGAGAGCGGGAGTCCAGGGCTTATCAGAACTGCTTCGGTTAAAACTGTCCCCTTCCCTTCATCAGCCAGGATCTGGGTCCAAAGGTGTCTGTTTATCCTTTAAGATCATCAAAGAGGAAGCATGCTGTGCTGCAGTGACTCCTCCAAATGAGAAGTGATCTGGATCTCCGGTCAAAAGGTGGAGTCTCTTTATCCTTTAAGATCATCAAAGAGGGAGCATGCTGCCTTTGGCCAAAAGGGGTGAAAAAGTCTGCTTCTCTTGACTTCAAAGACCGTGAGGCCCTGTTGGGGAGGGGGCTGCTGCAGATCCGAACCCTAACACTTCTAGCCAGCTGGGTGGCATAAACCCAGTACTCCATACATAATGACAGCAATCATCAGCTAGGACCCATGAAATACTTACCATGACTACCAGGGGCCAAATATTTTATTATTCATGTCTCACTTAATGGTCTCTGAAGGCAAAAAAGTATTACTTGTTAATGATAAGCAAGCAGTGCCTCCTTGGAGAGGTTAAACAACTTGCCCAAGGTGGCATTTAAACCCAGGCGGACGGCTTCAGAGCCCAGGCTCTGAATGACAGTTTTCCAAATGGGGATAATCAAATGATCCATCACTATATGAATCAAATACAAGGAGCCCCTGAGTCTGATGTCACTGTGTGGTCAGTATTAGGAGGAGAGCGATATTATAAAATCTAGAAAGACCATCAAGATCATGAGAACAAAGAGCATCTATAAAGTATATTCTGTGCCTGCTCTGACTTAGAAAGATTGGTAGACTAGAGAAAAGACTACAGAAGCAGGCTACTGGTGGGGCTGGGCCTCAGTGGAACTCTGGGTCACACAAAAAACAGGATGTTTTTAATAGTGAAGTAAATGGTAAGTGAGCTGTGCTTCAGATTTCCCATCTGAAAGGAAGGTCATGGTGATTGCCAGTTCTGCTGAAGGAATGCAATCTCTCCAAGGAAGAGGCAGGCAGTCAGGATCATCCTGAAAAAGTAACTGGAGGAAAGGCCTTGATTGTCCCAAGCTCTCAGCTGGGAGCCTTCTTGGGCTTGGTGCATGAAGTCACAGTTCAGCCACAGGCTGCATAACATCCTGAGACTGGCCAAAAAAGAAGGAGCTGGAGAGACAGCTCAGCAGTTAAGAATACTGGATGCTTTGCAGAGGACCTAGGTTTGGTTCCCCCCACCCACATGGTGGCTAACAACCATTTGTAAGCTCATTTCCAGGGGATCTGACACACTTGTCTAACCTCCATGGGCGTTGCACGACATGGGTGCACTTACATACATGCAGGCAATACATTCATATACATAAAAAATAATAAAATATTTAAAAAAGAAGACTCATTGGCTCTTTTGAAGCTTTTCAGAAAACGCTAGAAAAACCTCAGCTGCTAGTATCCAATAACAATACGTATAACACTAGCAGAGGTCCAGGGACAGGGCCTCAGGAGCTCAGGCCTGGTCCATACAGCAGCCAAGACAGGATGTCGGGCAGTCAGAAGGGGAGGCTGCCATCGTCCAGAGCCCTCACTGACTGGAGTGCTGCTATAGACACACTTGCATAAAATTAGTCTACTCACTTCCTCTGGGTATCATCACCACTTCCCCAAATCCTTACACTTTTACAGACTTTTATATTCGCCGGTCAACAGCAGAGCATAGAAAAAAACAGCACTCAGTCACCCCTGATGGTGGCTTGCTTTTTTGTGGGGCCCTACCACTCTCTGTTAAGCTACACAGAAGAGGCTAA